TAGTGATGGGCGATACCGAGTACTCAGTATTCGATACCAGCGATACCACAAACAGCGGTATCGGTATCGATTACTGACGTGGTATCGTTCGATACTTGCACCCTTTTTTAATTAAATGACTTGTTTAATTTCACTTCTTGGTTGAATAAGACTTTATTACAAAAATAAGTGTGAATTTGGAAAAAAATGGTTAATTGACAAAAATTTTAGAAAATTTTTGGATTTTAGAAAAAAAATTTTTGATTAATGGGGAAAATTGGTGATGTCCGGAAAAATTTTGGTATGTCCGAAAAAAATTTTTAACCCCTAAAATGGTACACTGACCGAAATTTTTTTGGCGACGGGGGGGGGGTCGCATACAGTAATGTAAAATGCTTTTCCGCCGCTGACCGGCAGGTATCGAAAGTAGCGATACTAGCAATTTAAGTACTCACTTCCGGTATCGAAAATTGAAATTTTGTGTTCATTTTGGTATCGAAATAGGTATCGGTATCGGCCGATACCGATCTTAAAAGTATCGGTATCGGTATCGAATTAAAAATCCTGGTATCGCCCATCACTAGTAGGTTAATTCCCAGCGCAGCGCCGCCAGTTCATTTAACTGTAAAAATACTTCATGTAATATATCAATATTGTGATTGACGTAATTCAAACTAAATCGTAAATAAGTTTTTGTATGTTTAAAGTGATACGTCACTGTGACACATTGTAATTTGGTAGGGTAATCAAATAGCTATATAGGAAGTGATTGAATGTCATTGTTGCTGTCATATCGTAGCGAGACAATCGGAACGTTTAACGGTCTAAAACTCGTGTTGTAAATACTTTCTCTTACATAATACAATCAATAAAATCATAAAATACAGTCCTTTGAGCGTTTATTGAACGAACCAGACGGTGGAATCACAAGCATGCCTGTATATTTAGTTTTTTTGCAGGTAGCCAAAAAAATTTTGCAATTAGTTTGTGGAAAATTTTAAGTATTTTTTTAGTTAGTATGCATAAAAACTTCAGAGTTCAGACAATGATTGCAGTTAGCTTCAGACACTTGCAAGTAGCGCCACTACCTAGGATACCCTGTTTTGACAGGCATGATCATAATTAGTTCCACAACAAGAGAAGCTGTATAGGAGCCTGACTAGTATACCCTTAAGCCTGGTTCACATATGCCTGCGGCATGCCTGCGACTGTATCATTATGCCTCTACTTGCCGCCGAAATACCGGCAAAGTTGAACTCAACTCAACTTTCCCGGCCTACCGCCGATGTAACTGAGGCACTGGCGGCAATCGGCGAACAAATGTTCACATAATTTATATTTTAAAGCTAACACCGTATCGTCGCCGGTACGTCGCAGGCACGTCGCAGGCATATATGTGAACCAGGCTTTACTTAAAGAGCGGCGGAAAATGCTACATGAACAATTTTTTAAGAGGAGAATCTTTTGTATGTTACGTATACATTATATATAACACGCGCTCAAAATTAATGAATATACTTTTCCATGCGCTTAGTTATGACCATATTCAATTTTTAAAATTTTTTATACGTTTCTCAAGCAGCAAAAGTCCGGATGTCTCCCAAAAAACTGCACACTGTTTGATTTCATGCAACGTAAAAGTTATAAAAGCCTTTGTAATGAAATTAAGATCATTGCATTCAGAAATGACTAACTTAGATTTTGATATATAACACTTGAATTTACATGCAATATTGACTGCACTGTTGATGTTTGAACGTTGAACTGCTGTTTTTGAAAATGCCAAAAATTAGCATAAAACTACCTTATAATTTCCGATGTAGTTAGAAACGTAGACAATTTTGAAATGGCTCTCAATTTCACAAATCTGTTCATTTCATATGAAATTTTTTATAAATATATAGATTGTTTGGGTACTTATAATGTACCTTCATTATATTAAAGGACTTAAAATTGAGCAAATTTTCCGATATTTGGACCACTGATAAAACACATAACAAATTTCTCGCCCACGAACTCAAAATGCGTTTTAAACTTTTAAATTTCGCGCGCAAGCTATTTGTAATGCTGCTAAAAAGATCCCCCTCGATCCTCACTCCTCCCCCTGATCTGGAAAATTTATCTGTACAAAAATGTTTGTTTATAGAGCGTTCAAAAGAATTTTAATTAGCCTCTTTTGTCTGTAAAGCCATTGACCATTGTATGCAATAAAGTATCGCGTTGTAACCGAAGACAAAATCACAAGCATTGGACAAAAGTTTTATTGTGATTGCAGACCCAATACAACGCAATACTTCATTGCGTACAATGGCTTTACAACTACAATAGATTATTGGTTACAACGTGCGGAGCGGCTGCCTGGTTAGGTCTAAAATTGTATCTAATCTTCCGAATGGAAACGTAACCTGCTGATGATGGTAATAACAAAATCCTACCTGTAATGTTGTCCCAATCGAACTGCACACTTGGATAGACGTCTATCCATAGAGATAATGTTGTCGCTAACACGAAGTACTTCGGGTCGACACTCTTCCTACAGCATGTCACGTCTAGCAACCGCTGGTCACGTTCTGTGCTGCTTCCATTGACCTGGACCATGAGTGGCTTGTAATAGTCTCCAATCTTAAAGAAGAACAGCCTTTCGAGATCTCTGTAGTGTACATAACGTATGTGCTTTTCGTCTCTGTAACCGGGGTTTGACAAAAACAGCGAGTGTACACTACATTCGCTTGTTCAAGTCATTGAACTATAAGTAAACTGGAATGCTAACTCAGGGGGGATTGAAGACAGTGCATTTTAGTTTTTCTGAGTTATGAGCAGAAATACTCAACACTGAACGTTGTGCTGTATATGAAACTGAAGCTATTGAAAAACGCTATTTCGTGTAGAAATTTCAAGACTTTAGCCGTAAAAGGGAAATATTTAAAAACTATACAAAAATAATTGCCGATAATTTGCCATTTTTTGACCGAATGGCAGTTGCTTTTGTATTATTAAAATATTTTTCTTTTCGCTGAAGTCTTGAAATTTCTACACTGAATAGCAATTTTCAATAGCTTCAGTTTGATATATAGCCCAACGTTTGGGATCGAGTATTTCTGCTCAAAACTCAGAAAAACTATTTTGGCTTCAGCAAATCATGGGCCTTCATAATAGCAGTTAGCCTTCCAGTTTATTTATAGTTCAATGGTTCAAGTACAGTATATTTGAAAATAGGGACCTTACGATTTGGGACGGCAATGTGAGGACGACGGGAGTCCCCACGGGAGTGGTTTAATATCCCACGGGAGTTTGAGACGTCGTCCACGATCTGTTTACAACGGGAAACTACAGATTTTTACGTCTTGGATAAAACGCCTGCATTTCAAGACGCGAGATGTGATACTCGGCAAATTAGCTCAGTATTACAGTAGAACGGACGCAAAGTGATCCGATACAATGTAATGTAAACATAACCTGAGTATTTTCTCGTGAGCTCACAAATCAATTGAATCGTTTCAAGAAATCGACATTTGCTAACAGTTGAAGTTCCACAGATCGCTTTTCGAAAACTTCAAAAGTAGGAAATGTATGGTCAAGCATATTTTTTCAAGGTGGTGCTGGACTTCTCTAGGGCCAAAGAAAAAATGTGGGTTTCCGGTTTCCCGACCCTACCTAGCTTTTGGACGTCGAAATCCCGACCCTAAACTTTTTTATTGGATCATGCTTGTAAGTGTTTCCACTTAGAGGAAAAAGTTTGTGGAATATTGAAATTTGAGGCAATATTAGGGAAATCTATCTTTGGATGTGGAAACACTGACTAAACAAAATGGCGTCCGGTTGTTAGGAAAATTAAAAAAAAAGTTAAAAAAAAAGTTAAAACCGACCTACCCTACCTAAGTTTTTATAAGAAGAAACCGGAAACCCACATATTTTTTTTGGCCTAGGGGGTGCTTGACCACCCCTGGTCTAGCCTGCGAACAGGCTCTCAAGTTGAATTGAGAGCCTACACTGATGATATACAATTTTGAATATCTGCCCCGTAACGTTCGTTTTTCCAAATATGGAATGTCTATCCTTATATGGTGTTGTTTACAACTTTCGTGCAAACTAAATTTAGACCGTGCAAACTAAATTTAGACCGTACAGTTTATACTGTTTTTCGAAATATAAGATATTCAAGCAAAAGTTTAAATGTTTTAAATACTGTTTTCTCAAAACAGAACATTTCATGCTTTGAGATAAGATGGTCAAGACCAATTTGATCAGTTAATGTGTTTTTTACTCATAGTGCTTCAGCAGTTGACATATATAGAGCTCAGCGGAAACATATAAATTATAGCATCTGACCAATGAGAATTTCGCGTCACAATTTGAGACGCAGATATTCAAATTCATTAGTCATCGATGCAGGCTCTCAATTCAACTTGAGAGCCTGTTCGCAGGCTACCCCTGGTCTTGTTAGCCATCGAGGAAGATAGTGATCGCAAAAATTAAATGTATTAGTGTCGATGCAATTAAAGTGTTGATAAAATATTGCACCAATTCCTTTCCTCAAGTAGATCAATTCATTTGATTGAAAATTGATCAACTTCCTGTTACTTTTAGATGAGGCAATTAGATTTCGTTTCAGAACCGATTGACCAATAGGAAACGCACAGGAAGTAAAAAGAAATTTGAATTCGTATGTATTGATCAACTTGAGGAAATGAATTCATGCAATATTTTATCAACACTTCCATTGCATCGACAGTAGTAGTATACCTCAAATGTCATATTGGTGGTAACGAGCTCCACAGTCACAGAATTTAAATCAAGCGATGACGTAATAGACAAACTTCCGGTGCACACAGAAGCCTGTGACGTATTACGAAACGTGCAATGAAACTCGGTCACATCTGTCGCAGGGCTTTCCAATACGAGATAACTGACAGTACGTGCAAATGTTGTCCGCCCGAGTGATGTGATCGAGGCGGGCACGAATGTCGCCTGCGGTACTTGGTACATGAATACAGCCGTGTCACCTAGTGGGAAAATCGGCAACTGAATCAAAATGATGAATCAACAGTTAACTTTCAAGTTTGTTATTACAGCCAATTTGAAGTCTTCAAAAAACTCATGCAGAACGTTTTTCCAAATTGCACGAGAAATCATACTTATTCTATTACAATAATAATATTACATGAAAAAATTGTTCAGTCACATGCGAAATAGTTAATTTTAAGGTGGCTCGATATAGTTATCACAAAAACCCTGCTCAAGAATCGCGAACTCAAAACCGGGTGACCATTTTTACGCGCAGGTCGCGAAAACTGATTAACAAAATGAAAGAACTTCCAAAATGACCTGACGTCAGCAGTTGCTCGCGCCATATCACGTCATTGCGCGTGTTCTATAGCGTTTTAAGTCAATTGCTGACGTCATTAGATTCTCCATTTTAGAAAAACAACGCGCTATATCTCTTTATTTTGTCTGGTGACCTATGTTCAAATTTTGCATGCTGTATTGCACCGCTAAAAACTTTCATTATACAAAAAATAAAAAAATTCTGTAATGCCAAAAAAATTTTACCGAAGAATATGACATTTTCGCATTTTCCAAAAAAAATGGCATTACAGAATTTTTTATATTTTTCTAATTGTTAGCTTTTCGTCCACGTAAAATAAGGCATATACAAGACGATAGGCCATTTTGGAGCGAATTTTGTACACGTATGTCGTCATAGCAACTGAACTATCTGTTACTAAAACTAATATAATTTGAAAGTACAGTTATCAGAATATATAAAAAAAAACCAATATCTGCTGAATAAATCCTAAAAATGCGTAGTTTGAACATGCCAAAGTGTTAAAAACACCTGAATTTTTGAAAACTGTATCGAGCCACCTTAATATAAATAATTTTAATACAAAATTTACTAAAAACGCCAGCCATTTTTGTCACTTGTAAATGTTTTTGTATTATTTTTGTATTATAGTCAATGAAATTTGCACTGTTATTGGTATTTCATTTTTTGGCACTGTATTTCGAAAAAATTGCGCTGCTCTTAGCAAATCAGATTTGAGAATTTTTTTTATTTTTTCACAAACAAAGACCAACCAATACCCGTGCGAAAAAAATTAGCCAATAAAATTTTTTCGTTGGCCTTGCGGTCCCAGAAAATGAAACATTTTTGGCAGCCCTGCTTACAAGCCCTCTCATTAGAAGTTTAGAACTGACACCTTTAGAATTCTATGGTACATATATTTTTTTTCATCATACCTCGCGATGTGTTCTTGGTGTATTGTGGTATGGTTGTGCTATCGCTTGAAGCCCAACATCCCACAATCACTGGATCCCCTTCGCTTTCCAACACGTACGATACCTTTGTATTTAAAAAAGAAAATTTAATTAGATTTGCGATATAGCCTTGTTTTGTTTGAAGCTTATCATAAGAATTTGTGTAGCTTATTAAGAGGAGAAATTTTTGTATGTCACGTAACACGCGCTCAAAGGTAATGAATATACTTTCTACTTGGTTATGACTATATTCATTGACTGTGATATGAAAAAATTACGTTAATACACCGAGTATAATTAACGCAAAATGGCATGCTAAATTCGGACTTCGTTTTTTTAGACACCCTGTATATATTTATGATCAATAGATTATTCCAGCTGTAGACTAAATTTTGATCTAGGCAAGAAGAGCAAAATCCATTCACCACAGCTAGAAAGAGCATGTTAAAATTAGTAAAATTGTAAAACTTTGTTGCGAAATGTTGTCAAATGAGGAAATATAGCCCTACGAAATTTGCAAATTTTGTATTAATTTGTATTACGCACGGGAATATGCAGCACTTTCGGCCCGAAAGTGGTGCATTTTCCTGTGCGTAGCCTAATACAAATTAATACAAAATTTGCAAATTTCGCAGGGCTATATTTTCCGCATTGTATAACATTTCGCGCCCAAACTTTGTAACTTTACTAATTTTAACATGCTCTTTCTAGCTGTGGTGATGGATTTTGCTCTTCTTGCCTAGATCAAAATTTAGTCTACAGCTGGAATTGCCTATCAAAGCTGGCTGGAAATGAAAGTTTCTTTGACACTGAAGTTTTTTCTATTAAGAGGCATTTTTTTCAATGTCACGTATTTGCAATGACAAGTGTTCAAAACCTAAAATCTTTTTGGCGTTCCTCTCAAAATTACTTTGTTTTAGCTTTATTCTCTAGTTTATACAGTTAGCTAACAGTTTTTGAATGCATCTGCCGGTTGAGAAACATAAAATAATAGTTAAAAATTGTCAATTAAAATACAATTATCAATGATGCTTTAAAATTGACGCCATATTTACAGCCATGTATAAGCAAAACTTACTGAACTTCAGACATCATTTTCTCTTTGGCGTATCATCTAAAATCTCTTCATTTTAGCATTATTTTACAGATAAAGCACTAAACATACTTTTTAAGTTTGTTTGCCGATTGAGAAACGTATCGAAAAACTAAAATTTTGAATTTTAGTCATAACCATAAGTGGTATATTATACGCATTAGTTTTGAGCGCGTGTTACGTAACATACAAAAAAATCTCCTCTTAATTAGTAAAAATAAGCGTCACATACATTCACTCTTCTTGTCGACAAAGGAACAGTTGTCGCATTGAAAGTCAATCTCATTGGAATGGAGCCAGCTAATAACAAAATGAAAAGAAAATATAGCCATTATGAGATCCGTATGAACATTCATGCATAATGAACCCTGTTATGACAATGTATTTATTTTATAGTACTTGAAAATAATGATTGTCTGACCTCTTAGTGGTGAAATAACGGAACAGTTCAGCGTTACAGGATTGCTGACAACACTTTCACTATAGAAAAGCAAACGAAAGGATTTTATCATGAGAACTTTGGTTTGTGAAAAACACCACGTATATATTTTGATTTTTACGAAGACAAGAGTTGTAAATCACGCGACCTTAAACCTGGTTTCTATATGGTCGTAACGGTCGTAAAGATTGTGTCACAATCTTTCTCATCAGACGAAATACAACATTTAGAGCTGAAAATACGCGGAGTGATTATAATAGAACCATGGATAATAAAATAAATGGATAGGAAACTAGCTGACGTGATCTAATATCACAGAATAGATACCGGACCAGAATGTTCTTTAATTATGTATTTTTTGTATAAAGACTAAGTACACATTGAGTATTGTGAGTTTGTTCTAGCGCAAGTACGCGGCAACAATCCGATTAGCGTACCACTGCCAGTCATATGGTATACATACGACTCTATAAAAAATCTTGGATTATCGCAACCTGGCTCTCATCCCCTTATTATATATATGTTGAAATATTTGAGACACTCTCCTGACTTCAGATTTGACACATACAGTACCTAAATAAAACTCCAACTTTCCTAACAATAGCAGGATCCATAGGTACAATTACAACATCGGAGCATAAACTGACTGTGGGTCGCCTTGTTACTTGAAGGTAACTAGAATATACAGTAGGAAGTGATTATTAATAAGATATGGTAGTCATTGTGATTCACAAAAGAGGCTATTTTTCTGGGCTTAAAAAAAAACCATGACCAGCCGACAATTTAAAAAAATAAAGTAAAAAAAAACAAATTCCGAAAATACAGGACATCTTGAGAATTCAATATATAATTCAAAACAAGACGCAGTTTGAGACTGTAAATTTTCGACTTTATTTCAAAGTCATCTTCAGACAGAATGAAATACAATACTTTACAACACATATATATATATATATATACAACGCAGAGAGAGAGCATCTGTCATGTGGGCGGAAAGAAGGATTATCCAAGCGAAGCGAAACATGATAAAGAAAATAGTAATAACTGAAAATGGAATATTTAGCTATATTTACAACAATGTTTAATATATTAAAAGGATTAAGGTATACAGTCTCAAACTGTGTCTTGTTTTGAATTATATATTGAATTCAATATAGAATTCAATTATAGAATTCAATATATACAATTCAATATATTCAATTATAGAATTCAATATATACAGTCTCAAACTGCGTCTTGTTTTGAATTATATATTGAATTCTCAAGATGTCCTGTATTTTCGGAATTTGTTTCTGGGCTTTTTTGCAGCAATTTGGTCCTTTTTTGGAAGGAGCCTTTTTTGCAGCTATTTTGGTCCTGAAATTGCCACATACCCCCTTGGCAGGGAGGTGTCCAAGGGCATCTACCCATAATCTTTTAGCCATGAATTTGTTGAAGGTAGTTTTGTAGATGTTGTCTTTTTGTCTATATTGTCTTATTAAATGATTAAAAAGACTATTATTTAAAATGTATGTCATGATGGTTCAATTGAATTGTACCCCATTGGAAAATTTATGGTTCATTACCCCACTCGTTAATACCTCGCTTGTATCCAAGCGGGGAAAAACGAACTTGACCAGTATCAGTCAATAACATATACAAACCCATTTTGTCCGACAGAGGAAGCAGTCTGGTATTGAGTTCCACCATTGGTGCTTTGACCTGCACATTGAACTTCAGTAACACGACCAGCTGAAATAATGCTGAAAACACAAAACCCGGCACATCAGTAATAATTATAATAATTGTAAAATCGTAATGATGTCACAAGGAATGCTGGTCTTAGTAGTCATCACCTGGGAAAATTTCGATAGTGGCCATTTTGAATTGTTAAATTTTCCCGGGCGATGACTACTAAGACCAGCTTTCCTTGCGGGCATCAAGTCTTCATTATATGCATACTTAAGGTCTATTCAATTTAATGGCTTGACCATAAACATATGTTCAGGGATCAGGTCAAATGAAATAAATTTTACTGCTTACTTGAATGGGATAGTGTGACGTTGTTCTCCCACTGGAATGGTTACATTTTGGAATGTAATGTTGGTGACACCAACATCAACTGATAACGATCGACATGTTACTTCAACCTACAATCAATGGATTTAGAAATAATTTACCCTCCTTTGGGGCAATGTGGATCTTTTCTGGAATGACCCATATCCATTTATTAGGCATACCAATTAATCTGCCTTCAAACAAATTTATCGATTTTAACACTAGAATCCAAATTGAGTGACATACCCCATTGGTTTGAGCGATTTCGCTCAATCGAACATTTATATTTCCTGAGCCTTGATACACAGGAACTTGTAAAACGTTGTCAGGATAACTTGATGTTACAATATCCACCACTAGAAATATATGTATATGTATACTTTAAATTAAACTCGCTAATCTGTATTCTCCAATCTGAGTTTGCACAATCGATTTTTGATCTTCATATTTTGGCAGAAACCCCAGAATGGTAATTCTCATGCTCAAATTAGTCTAGAACTTACCCAAATAAAGCCACACGTCATGAAATTTTCATTATTTAAACTCATTTGAGCATGATGATTTCATGAATTTTGAGGCAAGGGCCAAAAATACCTGTGGTTTTGGTTTCCAGACTGACTCAATTTTTTTCAGCCAACCCTAGTATTATTTTTTCAACACGATTGACTGTGCGACCTTATTTTTTGCTCCAGGCGGTTGCAGACTGCTCACACAGCATGCCAAAATGGTGTCTGCATGTTGTCACACTAATTATTGAACCAAAATGGCAAAATTTGTGCATAGGAAATACGCATCTCTAGTTAATATTAATGTCGGGACTCTACTGAAAATGGGTCGTTCCAGAAAAGATCCACCAAAGATCCCAGGAAATTTCTGCCGTCCGGAGGGTGAGGGGAGATAAAATTGTTTCTGATAATAGTAAATGTATTGGGACATCCGAAGGGGGTAGGGGGCTTAACATCCAATTTCTTCTGTGGGGCTGGTATGGATGTTTTCTGGAATGCATGACACAATCACAGAATAGGAAGTTATAGCAGAAGCGTAACTCTAGTCGTTTCCCTTATTGTTTGACGTCCACAAAAATTTTAAGTCGCTCACGCCAATCCACGTCATCCTGGCTAGTACAACCGGAAGTTTTTATCAGGATTTGGTAGGTACAAAGTGCCGGTTGTACTAGCCAGGATGGCGTGATTGATGACGAATCGCTTGCAAAAACGCGGACAAATACTTGCTTCAGTTACGCTTCTGCTATACCTTCCTATTCTGTGACACAATCACCCAGCAAAAATCCCCATCCTGTAAAGTCTGTAAAGATTTAATGTATATTATACTGAATTTTTAACACTCTTCAGGTTCACTATGCTTGTAAATTAACACAGAAAGTTTGGAAGGTGCAAAATATTTAAATAAACAACATTGCAATGGTCGGGTCCCGACCATTGCAATGTAAAGCCAGCACAAAATGTATGCACAGAACGGACTTCACAGCATCTTTAATGTTTTTAACATTTTAAAACATTTTTATTGTTACAAACATCGAGTTTACTTGAATTATGTATAATTGATTTTCCTAGGCTGAATTTTGCCTTTAAATAGTCATGAAATTTTTATGCTGGCGGTAATACGAGTGATACTTAGGCAATGCTTTCATTTTGAAAATGTACAAGTCTAGTACAACTTTTGTGTCTGAACACAATTCGACAATCGGCAAAATTTAAACAGTACATAATTTTCCCAACATTTTTCCCGCCAAAGATACTTACCCCGTTGTCCTGTGCAAATTCCTCCCCACAGGAGAAGAATCCGACACCAAAATATCGGCAAAATAAAACTGTTCATGTCAACTTTTTGCAAACAAATTTTCAGCCATGTTGTTGTCAAGCTCAAAAATTGATAAAATAAAAATTTCCAAATTTCCGCTATTTTCGAATAAACTTCATGTAGCCCTCATTATGGTGTATGGTATTTAGGCCTGGATAAATTATGCCGGCATAATTTCGAGCATAATAGGTCTTCAGGAGCATAATGAGCACTTTCGAGCATTGCGAGCATAATGCGGCATAATGCTATTAATTCCGGCATAATGTTAAAAAAATAATAGTTTCGTCTTTGGCCAGAAAAATTTGGAAAGAAATTTCTAATTTTGAAAAAAGAAATTAAAAGAAATTTCTAACTTTGTTTACTAATTATTAGTGCCCGGGGGGCCGGGCACTAGTAATTAGTAAACAAAGATGGCGGATCGAGATGAGAACATTGAACTATAAATAAACTGGAAGGCTAACTCAGGGGGGGAAATTGAAGCCAGTGCATTTTAGTTTTTCTGAGTTATGAGCAGAAATACTGAACACTGAACGTTGGGCTATATATCAAATTGAAGCTCTTGAAAAACGCTATTTGGTGTAGAAATTTCAAGACTTTAGCTAAAAGGGAAATATTGAAAAACTACAAACATAATTACCGATAATTTGCCATTTTGCAGTTGTTTTTGTATTTTTTAAATATTTTTCTTTTCGCTGAAGTCTTGAAATTTCCACACCGAATAGCAATTTTCAATAGCTTCATTTTGATATATAGCCTAACGTTTGGGGTCAAGTATTTCTGCTCATAACTCAGAAAAACTATTTTGGCTTCATCAAATCATAGGCCTTCATCATAGCAGTTAGCCTTCCAGTTTATTTATAGTTCAATGGATGAGAATAACGAAAACATGGTCATTGTCGACGACGACGGCGACACAGAATAAGGTACACAGAAGGTCGACTCGAGTAACGCTGCCACGCCATGATTCATCATCAAAATGCTGACGCCATGGTCCTAGCCAGTGCGGGTTTGAGAGGCATTCCCCCCCCTGGACATCCGCCATTTTGAATGATATCAGGGGGGTGAATGCCTCTCAGGCGCGCACTGGCTAGGACCATGGCGTCAGCAGTGAGCTCCATATATATCTGGAGTAGGAACTTGGTTGCTCAAAGTGAAGCCAGTTTCGTGTTAACCGTGCATACAAAAACAATAGAAAGGGACTGGAACTGACGTCCAACCATTGAACTATAAAAAAACTGGAAGGCTAACTCAGGGGGGGAAATTGAAGCCAGTGCATTTTAGTTTTTCTGAGTTATGAGCAGAAATACTCAACACTGAACGCTAGGCTATATATCAAATTGAAGCTATTGAAAAACTCTATTTGGTGTAGAAATTTCAAGACTTTAGCTAAAAGGGAAATATTGAAAAACTACAAACATAATTACCGATAATTTGCCGTTTTGCAGTTGTTTTTGTATTTTTTAAAGATTTTTCTTTTCGCTGAAGTCTTGAAATTTCCACACCGAATAGCAATTTTCAATAGCTTCAATTTGATATGTAGCCCGACGTTTGGGGTCAAGTATTTCTGCTCATAACTCAGAAAAACTATTTTGGCTTCATCAAATCATAGGCCTTCATCATAGCAGTTAGCCTTCCAGTTTATTTATAGTTCAATGGGGTACATACACTCAGTGAACTCTAAGAGAACTGGAACGATAACTTGGCCGCCATCTTTGAAGCCACTCATGATGGCCGCCATGTAGGTATGGAGTGGAAAATACGCCGCCTAAAAGACGTCTGTTTTCGACCACTAAATAGCTGTATTTCAACAAGGAAAAAAGCTAAAAACTTTCAACAATACCTGAAATTTAATACAAAACATGTTTCCAGAACGTAGAGCAGTTATAAAGTTCTTTTTTCAGGAGTCAAAGTGCGAAGTTTTTTCGGCACGTTCAAACTTGTGTAATATTTTGAATATCAAGCTGTTACCCAGGAAGTTTTTGCTGTTAGTGGATGTAAAATACTTAGAACTATCCAGGAAACCAGGTTTGAATCTTTAAAGTTGAAGCCTTTTGATAAAAAAAGTACTTTTTCTCGCTGATTTTCGCTCAAAAACAAACTTTTGACTGAATTTCCCGCTCCTCGAAACTCTCCCCAGTCCTTTTGAAAGTTAATTTATTGCTGGCCGTGCTCGCGAGAAGCGCCATTTTGGCTTCAGGCAAGTATGGGCATATTTATCTGCAGTTAGCGTTCCAGTGTTATTACAGTTCACTGGGTCGAAA